AGTTTGAATCGGCAGATTCAGGTGAGACCGTAGTGACTGAACAAGCCTTTGCAATACGCTCTCTGCCCATCAGCCCACCGGTCATGAGCCCAACGAAGGTAGCTAGCCAATATGATCATTTGAAGGACACTACCTTTGTGGACCTTCCAGATAAGCGTGTGAGAATATTGATAGGAGAAGAAGTTCCAGAGGCACACTGGCCTATGGAAAAAAGGTTGGGCAAGCAGAAGGAACCCTACGCTGTAAAGACACCTTGGGGTTGGGTTCTACTTGGTCCGTTGTCTATAGGACATAGAGTATGGAGACATGTGCACCATGTAAGTGCGAAAGATGATGACATCACTGCTCATCTAAAAGCTCTGTATGAGGCTGATTTCAATGATTTAGAGACTCTGGGCGTATGCCAAAGTGTCGAAGACAAAGAAGCGCTTCGAATCGTTGAAGAGTCTTCAGTGTACAAGGATGGTCATTACGAAGTACCATTGCCGTGGAGAACGGCTGAAAGACTTCCTGACAATTATCGTCTAGCCCACTCTCGATTGCAATATATGAGGAGACGTTTTGCAAAGGAGCTGACTTTGTTAGCGCAATACAGAGAACGCATGAACGATAGCATCATTAAGGGCTATCTCGAACCTGTATCCACTCATCAATCTAAATCAGGGGACAAAAGGAAGTGGTATCTACCTCATCACCGCGTTTTGAACCCGAAGAAACCACAAAAGCTGCGAGTCGTCTTAGATTGCGCGGTCAAGTTTGAGGGTGTATCCCTGAACGATAGATTGTATCAAGGTCCCGACACTACTGCGAATGTGTTGGAAGTTCTCTTGGGCTTCCGGAGTGATTATGTAGCTGTGGCTGCAGACATTTCTGAAATGTTCATGCAAGTAAAGGTTCCCGACTGCGAAAGGGGTGCATTACGTGTGTAATGGTGGGACTCGGAAGACTTGACCAGTGAACCCAAGCTATTCCGAATGACATCTCATCCGTTTGGCGCCACGTCCTCACCATTTTGTGCCAATTTTGCCTTGAGAAAGACAATCTCAGACCGGGGATTGAATTGCATGACTGAGGTGAAACAATCAGTGGATAGATATTCCTACGTTGACGATTGTTTAGCATCACTTCCGTGTGCAAGCGTGGCTCAAAGATTTGTGCGTGAGCTAAGTCGAGATTTATCAAAGGGCGGTTTCCACTTAAGAAGATGGATATGCAATGGAGAATCTCTCTTGACTGAGGTGTGTGAGTCGGATGTCTCGTCATCGGTGCTTTCCATTGAAGCTTTTCAGACAGTCGAAAGGACGTTGGGTTCACAATGGGATGCTAAAGCGGATTAATTTCGCTTCACCTTTGTTTTTCCCGATCGACCGCTCACTCGACGAGGAATACTATCTTCGATCTCCTCCCCGCTTGATCCTTTGGGTTTGGTAGCCCCTTTGACTTTGCCAGCAAAAATACTGTTAAAAAGCTATGTACGAAGCAATTACATCGGGATGAAAAACTGAGCGA